CGGCCATTCTCCCTCGGTTCCCATAACTGTCCCACATAAACAGCGCCCGCGGCCATTCTCCCTCGGTTCCCACCGTTTACTTTCAAAAGGACAAACAGTCACACCACGAAAATCCCCTCACCCCACCCTCGGACCCCAGTGAAGATTGTGCTGGGTCCGTACTCTCTCCACCCAAGTCCTTCCTGCAGGTGCTGCAGCCTGCAGGTGAGCCAGGTGCCCCCACGACCGTAATAAAATGACTTATTTCCACTTGGTGTCTCGTGGTTTAAGTGCGGCTTTCCAACCAGAATGATACATGTGACCTGGGTTGCAGGAGACCACTCTGTCTCCTCCCACCTGGGGTGACAGCTGAGTTGAGATGGCACACACCCAGGACACGTGCATGGCCCAACCCTCTCGGCCCACTTGGGCCGCACCTGTGGGAGTTCTCCCGCGAGTTGGTGAAGCAGAGGACCCTCGAGAACCTTGTCGTCAGGAGCAGGTGTAGGACGGCCAGCGGCTTGGCGCTCAAGGTGCAGGGCACATAGTGGTGCTGCAGAGTGAGGATGCAGTGTTGACCGGGGGCTCCGCCCCAAGGACCTGCCCTGCCCCTGCCCCTGCAGCCCCCCACCGGCCCCACTCACCGCCAGCCCCTCGGGGAAGGCATACTTCCCGCCTGTATCCCCTGCCGTGTCGTCACCCGTGCCTTCGGGAGCCCTGCTCTCCAGCCCAGCAGAGAAGAGCTGGGGCTGGTAGAGGGCAAGCTGCTGCAGCTTCTCAGGATTCTGGGTCAGGGTAGCTGAGAAAAGCAGCTTCTGCAGAGGCATCTGAGGGGCCCAGGTGCTGTGAGAGACGTGGGGTGGTAGATCAGCAGCATGTAGGAAAACAGAGTAGGTGATGAGCAGGTGAGGGGCGTGAGGAGGACACAAGGCAGGTGAGAGGTTTGAGGAAGAGATGGGGCAGGTAAGCGGCATGCAGGGGGGACGGGACAGGTGAGGCGCACGCAGCGGGGAGAGGGCAGGTGAGGGGTGCGCAGGGGGGATGGGGCAGGTGAGGGGCATAAGGGAGAGACAGGGCAGGTGAGGAGCACACGGAGAACAGGGCAAGGGAGAGGCGCGCAGAGAAGATGGGACAGCTGAGGGGTGTGAGGAGTGACGGGGCAGGTGAGGAGTACACAAGGGTTGATGGGGCAGGTGAGGGGCGTGAGGGGGAGATGGGGTGGGTGACGGACACGGGTGATGGGGCAGGTGAGGGGTGCACACGGGGGGACAGGGCAGGTGAGGCGCACAAAGGGAGAACGGGGCAGGGGAGGGGAGTGCAGAGGAGATGGGGCAGGTGAGCGGTGTGAAGGGGAAACGGGGCAGGTGAGGGAGTGCGGGGGCCCCAGGAGCAGAGCAGGAGGCCTTACCGGTTGCTGTCCCCTACCCACCACTCTGGCCCTCCCGGGGGGAGATTCTGCAGCTTGGCGTTGAGCCCAGGGACGGGGGATCCCCGGCTGCCAACGTGTGCAGAAGCCCAGACCACACGAGGACAGGAAGGACCTCAGCCGGGGGGAGACAGTGGCGGGGGTACCTGGCAGCAGTCACGGCCCTCGGCAGCTCTCGCTGGAGCAGAGAACAAGGGTCTGTGGGGCCCTCACTCCGGAACACGGCTGCCACCACCCGCGGCAGCCAGGACTGGTGCATGCTGTCCACCATGCGGTCCGCCTCATCAACGACCTGAAGAGGCAAGACCAGGTGTGGTGGCCGAGGAAGACACGGAGCCCCGAGCCCCGAGCTGGGCTCAGCATCAGCCAACCTACCAGGAAGCGCAGCTGCTGCAGGCTGAAGCCGGCGGTCTGGTCGATGTGGTCCACCAGGCGGCCAGGGGTGGCCACCATGATGTCAGCCAGGCAGCGGTAGCCATCTGCCCTGTGGAGAGTACTGCTGAGCCCCAGAGCACCTTCCTGGGCCCCCTGTCCGACAGCAGATGCTTGTGCCCTGTACGTCCAGGTCACGAAGCTCCCCACAGCCCCACCAAGGAGCACACAGCCTACAGGACCTACGTTCTCTGGACGAGACTCTCCTGCTCCTTGGCCAGCGACTTCTGCCCAGTGACCAGGGCAACACGCAATGGCGTGGCGTCCGTGTAGATGTTGAACACTCTGCTCACCTAGAAAACAAGCAGTTTGCCACTGGCCTGGGCGAAGTTGCTGCCCCCACCCAGTAAAGAAACACCCCCAGGAGATCGGGCCACCTGAGGTCCCCGTACCTGCTGAGCCAGCTCCTTGGTGGGCAGCACGACCAGGGCCCGGACACGGCACACCACTCGGTGCAGCAGGGCCTGGCAGGGGGGAGAGCATTAGCAGAGCCTGGCTTCCAGTGCTTGGCCCAGCAGGGAAGGGAGGAGGGGGGTCCGCTTACTCACCTGGACCACAGGGATGACGAAGGCCAGTGTCTTCCCGCTGCCTGTCGGGGCCGACACACACAGGTCTCGGGGCCGGAAGCCCCCTCTCCCCACCAGAAAGCCCCCGGCTGTGCTCTCCAGCAGGGCAGGGATCACAGCTGCCTGGACTGGGCAAAGGCGAGACAGAGTCAGCGCACGGGACCAGCACAGGAGCCAACACCCCTCGTCCGTGTGGTCCACACCAACCATCAGAGAACACCAGGCACAAGTAGCAGGAGACCCTCAGAATCATGGGGCAAGACAGTGCTGGGTTCCGGGTCGGAAGCTCCTGAGCTGGGGCTTCGAGGTGCTTGGTGGTGACACGCTGCATGTGACGTCACCCCTTCCCAACGCCCAGGCTGCGGCCTCACCTGGGAAGTAGGACGAGATGCCCTGGGCCCGCAGCTTCCTCTGCAGGTCAGGGTGGACCTGAGGGATATCCTCAATAGGAATAAGGTGCTCAGTAACTTTCTTCCCCACCAGGCTCGGCTTGGCCAGCCACGTGGGCAGTAAAGGCTGGACCTGTCAGGAAATAGAGGCAAACCCAACAGGTGAACACCCCACAACACCCAAGTATGGACAAAGCACACAGAGACCAAGGCCTAGGCACTATGGTTCAACAGGCAGACAGAAAGGAACACCAGAGAAGACCCCGGCTCCCACTCTCAGCCCACCCCCATAGAGTCTAAACCAAAACTCTAAAGATACACCTAAAATATATCAATCTCCTAGACGTTATCTTCCTACCACATCTACAGCAAAACCCCCAATAGAACATGGCCTAGTACTGCCTACTCCTCTGGCTTTATTGTCTGTGCCTCAACCACACCTGCCTTGTTCTTACGGCTCAATCCTATCCCAAGTCTCCCCCAGGCACGTCCTCGGCCAAAACACGGCACCAAATCCTAACCTAAGCAGCCTCTGATATCAGATCGAAGTCTCATAAAAGTCTCACACACACCTCTATGTACTTTTCTGGTAAAACCTTCACTGTTTTCCCCATTCTGATCCCCCCCCAGAACCTTCCTCGTATGCTTACTTATTTCTTCTTTACTAAACCCCATGTGGCTGAAATCTTTTCAAGTCAGCTCGCCGTCCGGGCCCACCTGAACCACCATCGGAGCGCTCACCTTCGGCGCCTTCCTCCTCTCGAAGCCCCCAAGCACCAGGGCGTGGGCTGGGGGTGTAGATGCTTTTTCCTGGGGGCCTCCATGTGGGGCCTCTGCCGCCTCCTCCCCTATCTTCGCCTCGCCGCCCACGTTGCTCTCCCCCGGCGCCTCGTCGCTGCTCTCTACTCGGCAGAAACAGGGCCACAGCAGCTCGTCAACCCCGCACCCGGCCCCGGGTCTCCTAAAGGAGCGACCCGCTTGGGCGGCACCTCCCCCAAGCCCAGACCCAACTGGACCCCACCTGCGTCCAGGTCCCCGCCGACCGCTTTCCGCCGCTTCCTCCGCGGTGTATCTGGACTCCCCGGCGCCGCGCTGCTCCCGTGCCGTCGCCGCCGCGGCCGCCGCCGCCGCTTCCCCGCCGCCTCCTCGGTCGCCGATGGAGGCGCAGGCTCCTGCTGCCGTCGTTGCTGCTGCCGCTCTCGGGCCCGGCTCTGCAGCTTCTCCAGCAGTGCGCGGGCCCGGCTGTCCGTCTCGGCCTCCACTTGCGCCGGCCCCGCCGCCTCGGGCCCGGGGTACCGAGCGACGTAGAAGAGCGCCATGGCGAGCAGGACTGCACGAGACTAACCGCTCGGCGCCGGTGTGACGTTGCGGGCGGGCAGCAATGACGTAACGAGGCTCGACGTCACGGGCGCGCCGGCGGTGGTGCGGAGTCCCGCCTGTTCCTCGTGGGGCGACGGTGGCGGTAGCGGCAGCGACAGCATGGAGCGGGATCGCGGCCCCGGGGGCGCGGGCCGGGTGCTGGGCCGCCTGCTGGAGGCGGTGCTGGCGAGCCGCGGCGAGGCCAACGCCGTATTCGACATCTTGGCGGCGCTGCAGGTGCGTCCCCGCGAAGACAGGGTCCACGGGCGGTCGGGGGGCTTGGAGTCTGGCGGGGGTCGCGGGCTGCAGGTCCCGGCTTTGGAGGCCTGGCACCGATTGTGAACAGAGATGAGGGTTGCATCGGTTCTGGTGGCTGTCGAATCCGGGGCAGTCACCAAAAGAGGGTATTGCTCGCGTCTGGCAGGGCTCTGATTGGACTGTCTTCCTGGGGGTTTAACGGAGATGGGACTTGAGGGTCAGGTTGGGAAGTGTGTGAGGTCACGCCAGGGTCACGGTTGTGTAAGGGGGCTGGAGTCCTGAAGTGGGAAGGGAGCGGGGTGGGTCCAAGGGCAGGTAGTCACGGTTTGGCGTCTCCCTGCAGTCTGAGGACCCGGAGGAGATCCAGGAAGCGGTTCGCATATGCAGCCGCCTGTTCGGGGCTTTGCTGGAGCGGGGAGAGCTGTTTGTGGGCCGGCTGCCCTCTGAGGAGGCAGTCATGACAGGTGAGTTCCCAAGGAGTCTGCCCATACAGAGGAAGGCTGTGCCACCGCTAGATGAGTACCCCAAAGCCCCGTTTAGGACTCGGTGTGAGGGGAAACCAAGATCATGTGGGAAAGGGATTATTGATTATTCTGCTGGGGCGGGTGGTGGTGGGGGCGGCGGCGTGGGTGTGGGTGCAAACTCAGTAGTCCTGCCAACCAAAAAAAAAACAAACCCGTTGCCAGCGAGTTGATTCTAACTCATAGTCATCCTGTAGGACAGAGTAGAACTGCCCCATAGAATTTCCAAGGAGTCGCTGGTGGATTCGAACTGCCAACTTTTTGGTTAGCAGCCGAGCTCTTAACCACTGCACCACCAGGGCTCCAGTGGTCCTGCAGCCAGGTTCAAACATACATTTTGAAACGCGTATCTTCTTGTGATTTGTACCACCTATGTGACTCAATGCTGTTTAACAGATTGCATGTAGCATTTAAAATTGGAGCTACGTGTCGCAGTCCTTAGAACATCCAGATCTTGGGGCCCAGTGAGGGGAAGGGAGATCTGCCCTGGGGAGCTTGGCTGGGACAGTCCCAGCATAGGAGCTGCTCTCCTGGTTTGCAGGGCCGGGGTAGCCCCCGAGAATGGCTGGTCTTGCCCCAGGAGACCTGTTTCCACTCTTGTTTCCTGGGTTGAGCTTGTAGAGGCCCCAGGGGTCGGGGGGGTGGGCTGGGCTCCAACCTGACTGGACCGGGCTGCCTGGTGCATGGGCCTCATGCAGCTAACCTCATGGCGCACCTGCAGGGTCCCAGGGAGCCACGCACAAGTACAAGGTGTGGATGCGGCACCGCTATCACAGCTGCTGCAACCGCCTGGGCGAGCTTCTGGCCCACCCCTCCTTCCAGGTGAAGGTGAGTCTTGGGGCCACTGGGCTCCACACAGCAGAGGCTAGGCCTATGGAGCGGGCACACTCTTCCCATGCCTGTCTAAGGGCGCACACTTCCTCTGGCTGGTGTTCTGGCAGGGAGCCAGGCCGCCTATCTGAACTCAAAGGCATGGCACACGTGGACATAAACGCAAAAACATGGTGTGTGGAGGTGGCCAGCCCTTGTCCGTGGCTAGTGGGAGAGGATGTTACAGCTGATAATCATGCACGGTGGCTGAGTAGAGGTGTGCATCCCAGCTGTCACTTCCTAGCTTTGACCTTGGGCAGGTACCTCAGCTTCCTCACCTCCACTGTGTGACTCAGTAGCCCTACCCGGCTGAGCCACGTGAAAGCGGGCCACTATAGCGTGTGTATGTGTGGCACCCACGTGGCACGCTAGTCACTGCCATGTGTGCCCGTGCAGGTCAGGGTGTTCACATGGAGCCTGTGCTGGCAGTGTTCTGTCCACAGGGTGGTCTGCAGCGATGGGAGCAGGCTGGCTAGCGTTCTTAACAACTTCATCAAGACGCAGTTCACATGCTGTTACGACTCATTCGCTCAGAGCATACAGTTCAGCGTTCTTAGTCCCTCAGCGACGGCACTGTTCTATGTCCTCACCAGCAGGGAACGAGAGTTCCTGTTTCTCCATATCCTCACTGACACTTGTGGTTGATGTCTTTTTTCTTTACAGCCAAATCATCCACTTCTAAGAGTTAGGGAGATGTCACACGAAAATCCTGATTTCCAGTTTCTCATGAAAAAAGCAGGTGCTCTCCTAATCCTGGGCCCACTTCCGTGCATGGCAGTGGGCTGGCTGGAGGGAAGAGCCTGTGCCCCTTTAGGTGGGCGTATCTTGTCCAGTTTGCCATACTCCCTACCACTCCCTGTTGCTTCACATGTGCCTGGGCTGTGAAAGCATTAAGTTTGCAACCTTGGTGTCAGATCTGGAAGGTGGGTCAGGGTACCCACTGTCTGCTGGGCCCCTGCTCTGTGCCACATGCCGTGATGGCCTCTCATACCTGCATTTCCACAACCATCCCTGAGGCCCATGGTGGCGTTCCCAGTAAACAGGAGACGGGAGAGAGGTCAGGCAGCCCCCATGCCGGGCCCTGTTCTGAGCATGGTGCGTGTGCCACCTTCACGAGGTGGACATCGTCAGCACCGTTTTATGGGCGAGGACAGAGAGCACAGGTAGTGGGACCCGCTGTCATCTTTGGCTGGTGTCAGTAGAGTGAGGATCCCCCCACACACACACACCTCCTGACCCAGCTCTGGGCCTGCTCGTGAGGGGCCCCCAGCCGGGACTGGCCCTCAGGCCTGGTCTATAGGGGCGTGATGTGTGGTCGGGGTCATCGCAGCCAGCTCACCCCCTCTCCTCCCAGGAGCTGGCCCTTGGTACACTCATGAAGTTTGTGCAGCTGGAAGGCTCACACCCCCTGGAGAAACCCAAGTGGGAGGGCAACTATCTGTTCCCCCGAGAGCTCTTCAAGGTGAGGGGCTGTGGAGGGGAGGGGGCAGGGCCTTCCAGCACAGGGGCCCCGCAGAGCCGACAGCCCGCCCCACTGCCCTGGGGGTGCACTCACTCCTGTCCCCGCACCAGCTGGTGATGGAAGGCCTGCTCTCGCTGGAGGAGGACCGCGCCCTGCTCCTCTCCCAGCTCCAGGAGTACCTGGAGTATGACGACATCCGCTACCATACGATGCAGGCGGCTGTGGGGGTCATGGCTAGGGTGACTGACGGACAAGCTGAGGTGAGCCAGCTGGCATCTCCCCAGGCTGGGCAGCAGGACGGGCAGGCAACAGGGCGGGCGGCCTCCAGGGGCTCAGACAGGCTACCACAGGTGCCCCTCACCTTCTGGAACAACGCCTTCACGCTGCTGTCTGCCGTGAGCCTGCCTCGCCAGGAGGGCAGCACCCCGAGCTTCTACGTGAAGCACACAGGTGAGTGGCCGGGTGGATGGGGCATCCCGGGTCCCTGTCCCAGGGAACAGCCAGGGAAAGGGGCACCCCAGGTCCCTGTCCCAGGGAAAAGCTGCAGGGGAGGGGAAGGGGCATCCCAGGTCCCCATCCCGGGGAGCAGCTGGGAAAAGGGGTGCTCCGGGTTCCTCAGGCAGACACCCCTCCTTGCAGAGCCATCAGACAAGTGGAAGGTGGCACATCTGAAGGTGAGACACTCCCACGTGCAGGCGGCCTGCATAGGTGCACCTGAACAAAGTGCTTGCTGGGCGGGACCTGCTCTCCCGGCACTTGAGTCAGGGCCCAGCCAAGAAAGGCACCACGTCCCTGCGTTCCAGGACGAAGCTGCTGTCCAGGTCACTGCCAGGCACAGCGAGCCAGGGTGGAGGACTGTGGGAGCTGCAGCTGGGCAGGTTGTTTGAGGCAAGCATTTGCTGACAGCCTCACAGCAGAAGTTGTGGGCCAGGAGGCACCTTGCCGAGGCCCCCAGGTGCTTCAGGAAAGCAGGGGCTTCACTTCTTTCTCACTGAGCACCTCTCTGTCTGTGAGAGGCCCTAAACCTGCAGGCTCCGCGGGGGCTCCCGAGGGCAGAGGAAGGGCACAGACAGCGGGAGGGGGTGCTGGTGTTCGTCCCGCCAGGAGCCCAGGCCTAGGGAGTCAGCCAGCTGGGCCCGGGTGAGGTGGGCATGGCAGGCGGAGTGTCCTCACCCCACCACGCCCTCTGCAGGAGCATAGGAAGGCCTTCCAGCTCATGTGGCTCAGCTTCCTCAAGCACAAGGTAGGCCCGGGCCTGGCGGGCTGGGGGAGGCTGGTGGGCAGCAGGCGCCCCAGGTCTGTGAGGGGTGGGGTGGACCGCAACCCAGCCTGCCTGTGCCCCCAGCTGCCTGTCAGCCTCTACAAGAAGGTGCTAGTGATCATGCACGATTCTATCCTGCCGCACCTGGCCCAGCCCACTCTCATGATGGACTTCCTCACCAGTGCCTACGACATCGGTGAGCAGGCGCCTGCTGTCCCTCGGCTCTGCGGCCTGTGCAGGGGAGGGGGCGGCTGCGGGCAGCCTTCTGAGGACACAGGGATGTGGGGGCTCACCCCACGGACTCTTGCTCATTGTGGGGTGCTGGGGCATCTCTAGACAGAGACTCGGGGTGCCAGCCGGCATCGCCCAGGCCCTGAGGGGCAGCAGAGTCTCAGGACCTTGTGTCTCCTCAGGGGGCGCCATCAGCCTCTTGGCCCTGAACGGACTTTTCATCCTGATCCATAAGCACAACCTGTGAGTGCTGGCTGGGTGCGTGCTTCTCTGCCCACTGTACCCCATGTCCCTCCCTACCTGGGGGCCTTTCGGGAAATGTGGGGTCGGTTGGGAAGAGAACAGGAGGAAAGACCGCAGCCACGGGGGTCGGTGGTCCCCTGGGCCTGCCTCATCATGACACCCCATCCCCAGGGAGTATCCTGACTTCTACC